CACCTGAACATTACTTATGACGTTCCGTGTCTTCCCTGACTGAATCAGGCATCACATTTAGCAAGGCAAACCAGTGATGGGCCGCTAGAGGGCATCGAAACTCCGTCCAACATTTTAAATATGCCATACACAATTTTACCTTGTTGAATAAAGTTATGCATTTCAACCTCAACAAATGAATACGTTTGCAACTCTCCACAGTTAAGGTAAACATCTCTTTAAATCTTGAGACAGAGCTACTCATTTATTTGTTTGTTTGTCCTTGATCAAACCCTAAGACAATCTCTGCTTTTGTGGTCCCCCCACCAACTGTTCTGCTTTTTTTTTTTTTCCCATACCAGTTTTCAAAATTAACCTTTGCTACATTGATGTAATCACAATACTGATGTAATTTCAACAAATCTCACTCTTTAATGCTTAAAATGATTCAATCTAATTGAGTTAATCTTTTTAAGCATATCCTATTTTCACCAGTTTGTTTGGTTCACATGAATTGTTCTTAATTAGACTAAACGCTTCAGATGATTGAAAGACGACTGAAAGTTTTTCAATGAAAGCATGCTCTTCAAAAAATGCAAGAATTAAAATACACAAAAGAGCAATATACTTTTGCCACAGTCTCCAAAATAAAAGAACATCTCTACAAATCTTGTTTCAAAGCAGCTTTATTTGAAAAAAAAATGTAAAAACTCAATTTTAATGCATAACATCTGCATGAACAGAATTTCATTTATTTGAATGACTGTGCAGATGATTGAGAGCTGATGAATGAGGTTCCTCTCCAGCATGTGTTTGTATGTGCCTGTTTAAGTGGCCTTTTTGTGTGAAACTCCTTCCACACTGCAGGCAGCTAAATGGTTTTTCATCATTATGAATCCTGTGGTGCTGCTTCAAATGACTAGCTGCTGTAAAGCTCTTGCCACACTCAAAACACATGTAATCCCGCACAGCATCATGGATCTTTTGGTGCTGTTTCAAAGAGTCCAGCCGTGGAAAACTCTTTCCACACAAAGAGCATTTATGGGGCCTCTCATTCATATGAAGTGTCAGGTGTTTTTTTAGATTTGCCGATGAGGTAAAATTCTTCCCACACTGATCACACTTAAATGTTTTTTCTCCAGAGTGATGACGCATATGATAAGTGAGTCCTGATGATTGTATGAAGCTCTTCCCACACTGATGGCACGTGTGCGGTTTCTCTCCAGTGTGAATTCTTTCATGTGTCACAAGGTGGGCTTTTCCTTTGAAACTCAGTCCACATTGAGAGCAGGTGAACGGTCTTTCTGTAGTGTGAGTTTTCTGATGCTTTCGCAGATATTCAGATGTAATGAAAGTCTTTCCGCACTCAACACAAGCATGATTTTTGACAGAAGAATGGATCTTCTAATGCTTCTTGCAGTTGGCCAGCCGTGAAAAACTCTTTCCACACACTGGACACAAATGAGGCCTCTCATGTAATTCCATCTCATCTAAAACAAACATATTCATAGTGATACTTAACAAATCATGCTGCTGTGATTTTGTAACTAAGGCTTTGCTACCTTGAAGGGATAGTTCACCCAAAAATGAAAATTCTGTCATTAATTACTCAGCCTCATGTGGTTCCAAACCTGTAAAACCTTTGTTCATCTTCGGAACACAAATTAAGATATTTCTGATGAATTGCGAGAGCTCTCTGACCCTCCCATAGACAGCAAGGATCCTTACACGATCAAGGCTCAGAAACGTAGCAAGGAGATTGTTAAAATAATCCATGTGAAAAGGTTCAACCGTAATTTTACGAAGCTACGAGAATACTTTTTGAGCACGAAGAAAATAAAAATAACTACTTTATTCAACAATTCGTCTCCTCTGCATCACCCTATAGCGCCATTTTGGAGTATCACATATGTAAACAACGCATGCTGTTTTGTGTCAGCTGCGTTATGCAGATATGTTGTTTACACCTTGATCTGAATGTAAACAATGTATCCGCGTATAGGGCTGCACGATAAATTGAAATGGAATCGAGATCGCGATTCGACAGAAGCTGTGATTGTCATGCGTATCTTTCAGTGAAGCATGGTTCTGTGATCAGCAGTAAATCTCCATCCAAAGGCCAGAGGGCGCTCTCGCGCTGAAGCTCCAAATACGCCTCGCAGAAGGAACCCAGAAAATGCCTATCGCTGCAGCTGAATAAACAGAAGATTCAACTGCTTTCATTGATTCAACGTGACTAATAAACACACGACTACGGCAATATACGGTTTATCTGAGTTCTTATTATTATAATTTTCATTAAAATAAAGTATATTTATAACGCAATGCCTTTATCACTGCTTAAATACTATCAAATATGTTGCGTGCCTTATTCTGTGTAAAAAGCCACATCATCTCACAGAAGGATGTATTTCAAACACTCGACTGACATTATGAAGTGAGTTTGGAGTAAAAATATGTTATTAAATGTGGTATTTTCACATGCTTTCAGATGGAGCAGCAAACTACGGCTATGTGTAGTAAATTCTGCTCCATCTGAAAGCACGTGATGATGATTTCCTGCTGATTACAGAACCGGCATTACTATCAAAATGCGCATGACAATCGTTACGTTGTTTACGTATGTCATACTCTCCAAAATGGCGCCAGGGTGATGCGGAGGAGACGAATTGTTGAAAAAAGTTGTTATCCTTGTTTTCTTCGCGCACAAAAAGTATTCTTGTAGCTTCGTAAAGTTACGGTTGAACCACTGATGTCACATGGATTATTTTAACGATGTCCTAACTACGTTTCTGGACCTTGATCGTGTAAGGATCCTTGCTGTCTGGGAGGGTCAGAGAGCTCTCACAATTCATCAAAAATATCTTAATTTGTGTTCCGAAGATGAACGAAGGTCTTACAGGTTTGGAACGACATGAGGGTGAGTAATTAATGACAGAATTTTCATTTTTGAGTGAACTATCCCTTTAATGTACTTCACATACTGGTAAAAAATGTATAGCCTGAATGCACTGTAAGTCGCTTTGGATAAAAGCGTCTGCTAAATGCATAAATTTATTTAAAAATGTAAACTTAATTTAAATTTAAATTTAATTTATTTAATGTTCCTTAACATTCAATAACGAAGAATTAAAAAAAAAAGAACACCGACCACTTTGTTCCTCATTATCTTCATGTATCTCGCTGCTTGGATTTGGATAATTCATTTCCACAGTATTTCACACAAGTTTAGATGTCACACATGGAGTTTGACAAATATATTGCCAGCATTTACTGGTGAACTGATATTGTTGTTGTCTGTGGCTTCACTGCAGGTGTGAAATGCTGTGTGGCAAAGAGGCGAAAAGCACCAGACATGGCAAAATCAAAATATGTCAATTTTTTAACATAAAAAAAATACAAAGTATTTTTGTAAGGTTTTATATTAGTAGCATTAAGATTATTCAAATAAATGTGTCTGCTAAATAATAACAACAATAATAATTATTATTATTATTAAATCCACATTGTGTTCCAAAAAGTTTTAATATATAAATGTTACAATAGAAACGGCATATAATTAGTTCGCATTAAATAACATTAATTTTTTTTAAATTAGATAATAGATCAATATAGACAACAACAAAAAAAATCACAATCTTAAATGCAAACAGGTCAGAAGAATGTTCGGCGGGAACACATTTCATTCTCATTAACACAGCAACTGACATTTATTTTTCCTGTAAATGATATGGTGTTTTATTAAAATTAAATTAAAAATTTTTTTTTTTTTTAATTAAAATGCATATTCTGTTACACCAAATACACAAAATAATGATCTTTAAAAAAGCATCATATGACCCCTTTAAATAATTGCGCTCAGTCGTTTTAACACGCATGCGCGCGCGTATTTTATGTTTTCTTACAATTATGATAAATGTGCGAAATTGAAATACGCGCATTACCTTAAATTCATAATATTTACAGAATATAAAATATAAGTTAGCGCTGTGGAAAGAAACGGTAAAACGGTAGAAGGGTCCATGTATCAAAACACGATGCGATAGCGGGCTGTGGACAGAGTGGCATGTGATACAGTGAACTTCACCAGCCGAACAGAAAATGTACCTGCATCAGGAGTTCTGGTTTTCTAGGAATCGTACATCCCCCACGTGTGTCTGCATACGGCATCCGACGGCGATCATCCACAATTTCAATACAGCCTCGTCAGCTAATATTAACGACCATTTTTACCTTGAACCGGTGAAACTCTCAGCATTGACTGCACTCGTCTCTCTCGCACTGTTCGGGGCGTGGCTATCGCTCCCTCATAACTACTCTCGTTGGCTCGTGCATGGATTGATGAGCAAATTAATCGTTTTATATCGTCCATAAACAACATTAGTTAGCAAATCGAAAATCGATTTTTATTACTTTAAAATAACGAGGGACCGCATTTTTGTTTCTTTTTCTGAAATGTAGTGATGTAAAATATGCCAGGCTGTAGTTCACGAAAAAGACCACCAGATGGAGCCAAAATCCAACTTTTCAAGATCCATCACAACGTAAAAGTGATTTCACTATTTTACATTTTTTTGCGGGCTGAGTTAAAATATTTTGATATTTAACAAACAGTTTATTTTGGTGCCCGTGACCCTAGAGACAATAAGCGTTTTGGAAAACTGATGGATGGTTTTCTTTTGGAAAACTGATGGATGGTTTTCATCTCTCTCTCTCTCTCTCTCTCTCTCTCTCTCTTTTATCCAAAGCGACATTATAATGTAATCAGACACGTGATTCAAATTGATCTAAACAGCTGTAAAGTGAATCTAGGCAAATGGGGAAACAGCGCCTATAGATCAGGAAATGGCATTATCTTCTGCCATGACAGCTTTTTTTGCCATTCCAAAACATGTTTAAGATTAGATCACTTGCACAGGTTTTCTTCTCTCTCTCTCTCTCTCTCTCTCTCTCTCTCTCTCTCCCTCCCTCCCTCCCCCCTCAGGGTATAAAGCTCTTTCACGCAACTGAGCATCGCACCTTACCTGAAATCTTTCAGCGACTCTTATTGGTTCTGCTGTTTAATTAAGACGTATTTTTAAATATCTCATTGAATGTTCTTATTGTGTAAGTGTGAGAGAGATCAGGAAGAACAGAAGGACCAGAGGAATTTTACTACAATGAAACGAATATTGATCCTGATGCTGCTCGCGCTCGGGCTGTCCTGCGTGCGTGCGCACAGAGGTAAGCCAACATCCTCCATCAACATATCTTCACATAAAAACAAGATATGATGCATTTCTGAGACACTTAAACGTTTTAAACATAAAGCAGTGGGTAGAAATGAATTTGTAGTCCCCGAGAGGGTTTATTCCACGAACGTGCGCTTCTTCTGAATTTCAGAATCAGATCAGAGTTTTTAAAAGTCGCAGATCAACATTTTAAGTTTAAACGAGGAGTTTTGATTGTTGTCTTTATATTGAAGGCTGAATGTCAGATTTGTAGACGGTCTTTGTTATGAAACACTATAACTTACTGATCATGTGCTGGAACAAAATGTAGAATTACATATGATGCTGTATGTGTGTTTTTGGAGTGCAATATTTATTTATTCTTTATATGATGCCATTTCAAGGTTTCAAGGTTTGAAAGGTTCGTTTTGTATCTGTCTGAAGTGTAAAAATATCTATAAAAACATGTTTTTATTATGCAAAATAATGATAAAGTTTTTTTTGGTAGCGAGTTAGATTAGTTTTAGTAAATTCAATACTCTGCAGCTGCAATCCTGCTGTAGTTTATTACAATAATAGGCTACAGTAAATCAGGCTCACGAAACTGACTGAAGATATTGAGCTTACAATAATTTATCAATGCTCAGCTTTTCTATCTCCTGTTCTCATCTTTTTCTTGTCTTATATTGTTGTCCTGCCCTGTCCGGTGATGCATGTTCTTGTCTTTCTCTTTCCATTTTCAGTGTTTATCCATCCAACTTTGCTTGTTTGTGTATTTCATGATTCGCTTCACTAGCTGCAGACTCCTCGGGCTGTTTGTCCCCGTCACAGGAATAAACTAATCTCCCTCTCTCTCCTCTTCAGACACATAAGATAGTAGGTTATGTCAAAATGTATTTAGCACAAAGTGGTTAATTCAGCCTGGAATGATATGAAACATCTGGAAATCACAACCACAAGCAAATGTGTCCAGCTGAGTGTATCGGATCAGTGTCAGCAGATTGGTAGTTAGACACCTTTGCCTTGTGTTTGCAGTTACTGTGACACACACAGGCACACATCACAATGAGCAGCTGCTGAATTCTCAGGTCAGTCTATTGCGTTATGTTTCCAAGCAACAAAGGGCAATGCATTATTAAGAAGAGAAAGGAACCTATGCAGACCTTGGGTTTTCAAATCAATGATATTACGGACTTCTTTCACTTCTTTGTTTATATAGCAAATAAAATATATTTCTTATAAACTCAAGGGTTCAGGTCTGATGCAATACACTGTAAAAAAAAATCTGTGACATTTACGGTAAAATACCGGCAGCTGTGGTTGCCAGAACTTCACTGTAAAAAATATGGTAGCAACATTTTAGGTTTTACAGACTTAACTTAAATTCACAATAAAATACCGTATTTCATTAACTGATGTAATGTTAATAAGCCAACATATTGAAGTGTTAATATCTGTTTTGAACCATTGTAATGCACTGAGAGCTGAGGAGGGCAATATTTATATATAGAAGGTGCACAGTGTCATTCACACAAACACTAAACCCCATCATGGTGGCACATGATACTGAAATAATGCAATAAACATTCATTTAACAACATTAGATGTAATATTAAACCCTAATGCACACAACTAATAAGAAAAAACTAAGAAGAAATATGTTATTTCAACAAAAAAACATCAAATATGAAGTGTCATGCAGGGAATTCTGGGAGTGTCAATTTACGGTTTGTCACTGTAAATTATACAACGACTTTTTCTTTTTCACTTCGAAATACCGTATTTTAACAGTATTTTACTGTAAAATTACATTAAATGTAATTACATTTATTCACCGAATATAATATGGAAACTTACTGTTAACCAGTTAACAGGTTTTTACTGTAGCATTTTTACAGTCTTTTACTGTTAAAATCACAATCATTTTTTACAGTGTACAAATACAGTATATCCTGCAAATATCTCTCTTTTGCACAATATTTTAATATGTTTTTTACTGGCAGAAACTATAGATTTTAAATAGGGATGCACAATCATGTAGGCTGATATTAGTGACGTTTGTTAACGGCACACTTATTTCCACCTTTTTACATTTAAATTAAATGAGCTTCATCTAGTGCTCACTTAAAGTTCAACTTTATTAAAACTACTAACTTAGCACACTGTTAAAACCATCATTAGCAAATCTCAACATGAATATCCATCTTTCATATATAATATTGTGATGTCTAAATTCCCCCATATCAGTGAAACTAATTTTAAACAATGGTAATGTTAGGTATTGTTTATAATCAAAATTTTACTACTATCCTTTTTATTATTAGTCATATTATTCTACAGTTTGTTATCGTAATATTTTCAAATAATGATCAATGTTGACAGGTAACATTGACTTTTAAACATTTATATGGATATTTAAAGGTGAAACTGAATGGAACTGCAAAAATAATTACAAAATATAGCTGCAAACAGTAATTATTAGGGTTTAGATGCTTTAAGATCTTTAATTGTGCGCATAAAAATACATTATGTATTATTTACAAAGCCACTTAAATCAAAGAGGCAAATTACTATTTTCAGATTTTTTTAATGGCAGTTCTTAAATTGAGCCCATACATAAAGGTGCCAAGTTTGATGAAAATATCTCATTCCTTATAACCATAAAAGTGACCCATGCCTGAATGTTTTGATAAACTCTTGATTTATCCTTGCAACAGCACAACTTATATTTGTTTTAAAGGGGTCATATGATGCTGCTAAAAAGAACATTATTTTGTGTATTTGGTGTAATGAAATGTGTTTATGCGGTTTAAGGTTAAAAAAACACATTATTTTCCACATACTGTACATTATTGTTTCTCCTCTATGCCCCGCCTTTCTGAAACGCGTCGATTTTTACAAAACTAATCGGTCTGAAAAGCGAGGTGTGCTCTGATTGACCAGCTATCCAGTGCGTTGTGATTGACCGAATACCTCAAGTTTGTGACGGCGGAAATGTTACGCCCCTACCATA